TAAAGGGATTAAACAAGCAAGCTAGAGAATCAGAGACAAGGAAAGAAAGACACCAAGCCACATGAAAATCACCAAGGAGAAGAAGCTCAAAAGAGACAAGGACTTTCCATCAGAGCCAACAGGGCAATAAAGCTTTCCAGTAGTAACAGCACTCTGAAGTCAGATTTCTAGCTTTCTAAATTGTGAGAAAATAGATTTCTGTTTCTGTTATAGCAGCAATAGGTAATTAAGAAACCAACTGACTAAGATCCACATGCAGGGCCAGGGGCAGGCTCATTTCTGTTCTCCAAGAGCATCATAATCCAAATAAAAATTTCTTATGGATATTTTACAACCACCATGTGTTTCATTTCTTGCAATAATGGGGAAATGATCTTCCTCCAAAAGGTACCATAGATGCTAGAGTGGGAGACTAGGGAATATATCTGGTTAGTGAATATGAGGGCTGTTAGGGTTTCATGGTAGCAGAGGATTCAGGAAATTGGTCAGAGAGCAGTGGTGAGAAGCAGTTTTGCACAGGGTTGCCATCGTGTGCTTTAGAATCAGAAGACTGTGCTGGCTAGTGGTCACTCATGGGATTTGTGCCTTGTGCCTTTCTGTACCTCAATGTCTTATTAAGATAGTGCTGCTATAAAAGAAATGCCACAAGTGTATGGCTTTAACAAACAGAAGTTTATTCTCTCACAGTAAATGAGGCTAGAAGTCTGAATTCATGGCACCAGCTCTAGGGGAAGTCTTTATTTCTTTGTTGGCTCTCGTGGAAGGTTCTTGTCTCATCTGTGGGTGTGATAGTCTCTTGGGGACTTACTTGTGTCTTAGCATCAATCTTTCCTTGAATTTAAGTTGTTCTCTGTGCAGGAAACTTGGGTCCAAAGGACATGTTCTGCTTCCATCTCTTCTTGGTGATAATGAGGTCCCTCTGCTCTCTGCTTGCTTGTTTAATCTCTTTTATATCTCAAAAGAGATTGACTCAAAATTCAACCTAATTCCATAGATTGTATCTTATCTCATTAACATAACTGCCTCTATTACTGCCAAGTCCCCAAGAATATGTACCAACTTGGCTAGGCTAATATTAGTATCTTAGTATTATGCAATTATCCTCCATTTTGTGATTTGATGTAATTACTGTAATTTCTAACCTCTACAATTAATATCATAATAATTAATACATATCAATTAATATCATGTTGTTGTTGTTGTTAAGTGCTGTCAAGTCGTTTCTGACTCATAGCAACCCCATGCACAGCAGAATGAAACACTGCCCAATCCCGCGCAAGCCCCACAATCCCTGCTATACTTGAGCCCATCATTGTGGCCACTGTGCCAATCCATCTCGTTGAAGGCCTCCCCCTCTTTCGTTGACCCTCCACCCAACCAAGCATGACATCCTTCTCGAGGGAATGGTCCCTTCTGACAACATGACCAAAATAGGTGAGACGAAGTCTGGCAATTCTTGCTTCCAAGGAACATTCTGGCTGCACTTCCTCCAGGACAGATCTGTTAGTTCTTTTAGCAGTCCATAGTTCTTTTAGCA